AATACCTGATTTTTTGCCCTAAGCATTACAAGTTTGGTAATGACTCCAAAGGGCTGAAATAGCTGAAGCAAGTCATTCTGAAAAACAACACAGGAGCCATTAAACCTATAGCGTCACTTTCTTGCTTTTTATAATAGAGTAGAAAAGAGAACTAATCATTGAAAGAAATTCAAGAAAATGCAAGAGGAAGGATTTGCTGCTGCACTCAGGTTTAAATATTTACCACCTCAAAGTACTAACTACTCCCATCTTTCAAACTGTGTTAACACTATTACCAAATAAAAATGGCATAATGCTAACTGCTTCTCTTTTGGAAATTCAAGTGTGGTTGGAGATCAAATGCTGAGAAGCTAAAATAACAAACATAACCCTAGAATGACTATAAGCAAATGACAGACTTCCTACTTTCAATGAAAGGTGCTAAAATAATCACTTCAAATAAAATGATCATTCTGTGAATTCTGGTACAACAGTACATGTATTTCATGGTCTACGCCAAAGAGGAGGCAGATTGGGCCCCACATGAAGCCCCAAAAGAGCTGAAAATCAAGCCAAAATCGGTGTGTGTTTTGGTTCTCAATAGTGCCACTTTTTTCATTATTTTGTTAGGTAGTTTCGAGAAGAAGTGTGACATCATTTTACATGCCTTCCTAGTTAGGTTTTACTACTTAATATTTTTATAAAAGTAGAATTTGACATGACATTTGGGAGAGAGGTACAAATTTGGATCCTATCTATAGCGGTATGTTTTTTGCTTTTTTTGGAAACAACATTATTGATATTATTGAGAGTTCTTGTGTTTACACCTTGGTGTATTGGATCTCATAACCTTACAAGAACAATTTAGTCTTAGAGGTAAGATTAATTCATTGCTTGATATATATGGTTCTTAAACGTTTAATTGAAGAAGGTTAATTAATCTTATACTAATTATTTTTTGACAACTAATCTTATACTAATTATTGTCTTTAATTGTTCAATCAGGGACCTAAAACACTTTCCATCTAAGTTCTTGAATCAAATCTGTTGGTAACCATGATTAGCCCTAGTATTTTGTCTACTACAATCAATTGGGATCCTTGGCAATAAATTTGAAGTTGAGGGATTTTATTCTAGAATTTCGGCTATCTTTAATTTCCGATCTTTAATCTTCATAGTTTTGCTTCCGCATAATTCTTGTTTCTCTTTAAGTTCTGATTCTCATCAGGGATGCTGGCACATTGTGTGCTGCCCGTTTTAATCATTTATCACAAATTCTCACATCATCTATTAATCTTCATTGTGGGAATTCGTCTTGTATATATTTCTTACAAGCAAATCAGGTGCGCGGAACATTTTAAGTTAATTACATGAATGACCTCAATTTGGGAAATAGTCCTACAACACAATAAGTACTATACTGGGAGCAATAGTTCAAACATAGTAAAGCAAAATAAATCCAGTTCACGCATCATACTGGGAGCTCAGAGATCACACATGCCACTCAGTCAAACAGATGCCTATCTACGAGAAAGTGAAGAAAGAGCAAGTGGGATATATGGGAGGTAATTGGTACGCAATCCAAATATCTACCTCTGAGATCTCTTGGCCCACATTGCGAACATGAATGACCTTTGACGGCTCAGTCATTTTTTACCTGAACCATAAAAATAATGAATGTCATTGAAATAAATAATCCCCACAAACACATTGCAAAGTCGCGCTATGTCAAAGAATAATTAAGCACATGCAAGACAAGGATTTAGTCACAATGCAAAAGGGGCTTAAGAAAAATACCGGACCTATGAGAATTTAGAATGGAAGTATCTCTTAAGTCATTTTGACCACAAACATCAATTCCTAAAGAAAGTAAGAGTCAACAACAAGTAACAACATGAAGGTCTACAGGAAAAACTAAACCTCTGTATCTCATTTTCTTAGTATGGAATATCAACAAGTAAGACAGAAGGTAAATATGCAAGAAATTCGGCTATTATCAAAAAGTGAAGCTATGGATGTTAGTAAAGGACTACATGTGACATGTTTACTTCCATTTGTGCTCAACTCCTATAGCCTAAACAGGTATATTACGAGTTACAGGAATTAAATTGTTACCAAAATCTCTGATTTCTTTAGAAAAAAACATGGAAAAATTCATATCATACTTAACCCTAGTTAGGTCTTTAATCGTACACACACATATAAGTTGACAATCTTTTTGACATCTAAATAATTGAATGCAATTGCCACATACATTTCACTGATCAATTATGCCAGTAGCTCAAACACTGTCCTAAACCTAAAGACATACCATCCATGCCATACATCTACATCATGTATCATATTCATGCCACTTGACCACCATACTCTGAAGTTACATTATTTTGCATTAAAATCTTCAAAAACAATCATTTTGGTTAATACATTAAACTGCACCACCAACGCCCCTTTCCACAAGTAAACAATGAATCTTAAACACTTACGACTTCCCTATGATTCAAAAGTAAAAATACCATTTCTTAAATCTTTATCTATAATAATCATCCCTTTTTAGCGCACATTAGATTGAGTGCAGGATCATTCCTTAGTTGCACCCTCAGGCTTAAATCATCTATAGAACAATTAGACAGGATCATTCCTTAATTGCACCATCAGGCTTAAACCATCTATAGAACACTGAAATTTTCTACATAGATTCACCATTCAATAGCTGAAACAACTTCCTAACTACTGAAATTCGACTAGAAACAGCATAAATCACTAGAACCCAACTAATTCAAGATTTACTTATAGTTGATTGATATTGTTTGAAGTCGTGGAACAAGAACAATCACATCGAAAAAATGGGAGCAGAAAACATAAGTCTTTTCAATAGATAATTGACCCAAAATGACTGATTTCTTCAAGCACAGCAAGAATTTTATACTTGAACAACTTCTACTCATAGCTTATCAGTTTTTTATCTTTCAAAAAGCAAGAATTTTCAAGAACACCAAGAATTCTTTCATTTCTCTTTTACTCATAGATGATGACAAGCCTTAAAACTTCATCCTACTTAACCCTTACAATAAAACCAAAACATCACTAGAAAAATGAACCAAATGGTAACCAATCTTCAATGAACTCAAGTTTTAATGATTCTAATTAAGTTTTAAAAGTCCCAGTTAAACTCAATTAGCAGTAATTAAGTTCATAAACACAAATAAATAAACTGAATTAAGATCTGACCTTCAGAAACAGAGAGACAGAAATGAGGGGAAAAAGAGAGAATTAGGGCTTGAAAAACCAGATAGAATATTCCAGTTTCCGTTTAAAGCTTCATTTTATTTTGATATATTTAGATTGACATAATTGCCCTTGGGAACAAAAATACATAAAAGATTTTGAATTTTAATCTCAAAAATTCAATTTGTTCCTATTTTAGATATTTTCTTAAAATGATATTTTTCCTACACTTATTAATTATTCTTTTTCTTTAAAAGGATTGTGCTTTTTCAATTCTAACTTGAATTATAATCAACATTTTATATTTTTTTTCTTAAATTTATATGTTTATTTTTGCATTTAGGGACATGTAGAGTTTTTGTAAGTATTATGTTTTTGTTGGTGATGTGCGTCTTTTTATACTATGTGTTTTTTTATCCATAGATAAGTACTATATATAACAAATAGTTAGTGCTACGGACATAATTTATAATAATTAAAAAATAATTATATTGTTATTATCATACCATGAATATTAGCTTCAGAAAAGGTTACTATAGAAATATCATATGCTTATGGAGTCTCAAAATTTTTTATTAAGAATAAAACGATCAACGGTCTCATAAAAAATACTATTTGAAATTATTAACAGTGTTACTACTAATCCCTACACCACAACTCAAAGAAATAGAATAATTTTGAACTAAAGTTCAAATATAATGGATAATTTTGGACTTTTTATTTCATTTTCACAATTGTACAGGGTATATTAGGAAATTCACACAGAGATAAGGACCTTTTAGGTTTCAGAGAAATCTATTTAAGACGACGGTAGAGTGAAAGTTTAGCCTCAAAACTACTTGATCTTATCTGAGCAGTGGGCTGCGGAGAAGACGGCGACGGAGAATGTGACCGGCGTAGTTGGGGAGGAGCTACCGCCTTACATATATAGGGTTAATGGAGGCTCCGTTCATCTCTTTCTGGCCGGTCAATTTTTCGGGACCCCTTTTCCCTGCTTTACTGCGATGAAGACTGTTCGCCATCTGAGCCTATCGAATAAATCGGGGCGATGAGGGTTTGAGCGGACTTGACCATCATAAAGTTTTAATTTTTATGTAATTTAAGTATTTTTGTTTCAAATTGCTGAAGAACAGATATCCAGATTTTGAAAAAAAATTATTTTTGTGTGTTATTTATTTGAGTTCATGCATTTCTCTTGATTTAATTTGCTATATTTGAATCTAACCTTCCTTTTGGCTATAGATTTTGATATTTGAGTTTTTGAAGTTAGCATTTTACTCAGAAAAATTTTGAATTTGCTACAGCATCAGAGCATTTTGTTCCTTCTGTATTCAGATCTGAAATGTTGCTTCTTACTTGTGAGCACCTCTTGTTTTATGTGGGGATGTTCCTGTTTCGGAAGCATATATTAATTCTTTTACCAGTTATAAACAGCGTGATGAATATTTCATTTCTGCATCACGCTACCTGTCTTCTGGTACAAACTCATGTGATCTATGCAATGATATGATGATCTGTGTCTTTAATTGTAGCACCAGCATATAACATGATTTAAAGATATGGAAGACTGTAGTATTTGACAGCTATAGAACATCTAAATTTTATATGGTATATGTTATGGGTTTGGGATCAGGGTAGAACTATGTCATGAAGAAGCTGTGGCTTTGTATTTGGTTGATTCTGCCTGAAAAGTGTCCAACTTTTGATGTCTTTTATGCCTCTTTTGGGTTGTCCTCTATCCCCTTTATGACAGTATAGCAATTCAATGTCACGAATGACAGATTTTTGCTCTTGCCTGAACTGGAAGTTGAGTTTGAAGCTTTAGCAGATGCAGGTCATGGCTGAAGGCTGTTGAAACAAGGCCTTCCTTTGATTGCGAGTGTTGAGTCTATACCAACCTTAACCCCCTAGGTTGGGGTTCGAAGAGTGTAGAATGTATGCAGCTCTTTCCCTCTGCCTTTAGATGGTAGAGCGGCTGAACGAAGACGATTCAGACTATGGATTGATGTAAAACTAATTGGATTTCCCTCAATACTGTGTTTTATTGAGGTCCATGTCTTCCTTGGAAATGGATTGGCTGCTGATATGTTTTAGCATTTGATACATACTTGTAGTTACTGAAATATTTTTATACTATGAATTCGAAAATTGAGAAATGCAACTTTATTTTGTTCATTCATTATACTCTCTTTGGATTAAATCTTTTGGCAAGTGAAACATGAAATGATGGTAAGAATGCAGTCTTTACTAGAACTCATTTCATTTGAATACCAGGCTCACATAAAATATTTATAGCAACCATATACGGTGACATTATGTACATTAAAACACACACTAGATAGTTGTGCATACATAACCTCTATAATACAGTTTACAGATGAATCTCAAAATCATCCTGGACGACTCATCTTTTCATATGGAACTTTTAGAGATAAGTCTACCCTCCATTCAAGACGGAGGGTGTTAGAATGTCTGTCTCACATGATGAGGAAAGGACTGTTGTTCCTTTTTTATAGTCTTGAGCATAGCTTTTCGAGTTTACTTAGATCAAGGTCCGATGTCTTAACAAACTTTTAACTCTTTGAGTCCTGTTTGGCCGTATGCAAAGTTGATGCTAGAGGAAGAGGAAGTGGTAATGGGGAGAATGTATTGGGATGAGATGAAGATTGTCTACTTGTTTTTATCACCTTAACTTCTTCTAAGGCAAGAGGCACTGGTTCTTCTGTTTTTGGTGTGTAAGCAAAAGATAGGTCCTTATTAGCCGCTAGGGCAAGTAGCTCTTTCTCCTCGAGCCCTTTAACTGGTCCGAGGCTGCAACAATCTGCACCATACTTTGTCAATGCATCTTTGAATTTTTTTATCTGCACCAGGATATCGTGGCCGGTGTTAGAAGGATAAAAGGAAGGCGTTGACAACAACAAGCAAACGACAGCATTGCTCAGCTGTTGAATCTCTTAGTCATCAAGATCAATTCAATGAGAGACATTGCAGAAATTAAGAAGGAAGCTGCATATAATGTCATTAACAGATTGCTGACATATCAGATAAACTAACCGTGGCATTGGTGCAACTAAAGCTACAAAGACGACCTTCAGCACCTCTATAGAAACGGAAAAATGGGAGAACATGTACGTTCAGCGAGTAACACATTGACTTGTGTTCCTCATAGTTCACATGCAAAAACTGCACATCCGGATTCATCTCTGCTAACTGACATATCTGCATTTCCCAGTTTTAACAAGACTAAGATCATTAATCCTATCTTACTGAAATGGACAGCCAACAAAGTGCAGCATTAGACAACAAGAAATGTATTACCTTTGGATGAAGGGCTTTGCAGCCTCCACAGCCAGGGGAAAGGAAATCAACAACGACTAGTTTATCCCCACCGTTTAGAAGGGTGTCAACGAGGTCTTGAGCACCCGTCACCTCTTTCATATTCGGTTGAAGTCCTTTCTCCCACCATTTAGGAGCTCTCTTGATACCTATGCTCATCTGTGTTTATGTAGCGCGAGATGAAAAGGTACAACTTTTTATATACTATAATATCAAGCCTGCCAAATTTTTAAAAAAAAAAGAACATACTATCGAGTGAGCCAATATTAACCAATCATGCTCTGAATTCGACCAGAAAATTTCTACGCAGAAATAGATTTTTAACACAAGATCATGGGAAAAAGATTGAAATTTTTTACTTACTTATCAACTGATAACGAAAATTAACATAAGAAAACTCCGTATTATAGCGAGTCCTAGTGGTCAATGAGTTGAATTGGGAACATGAAGCCTCTTATTTAATTCCTATCAAAGGAAAAAACGGAAGGTACCTTCTTCCTTTTTGTTCGAACCAGATAATTGTTACATATAGTTTCATAATATATCATATTGAATTGTATTATTTCTATGGATACAACGTTTAGATAAATTATATGCTTCTTGTCATAGTATATATAATGCTACACATCAGCCATTTGAAGTACAATACTATGAGGAAAGTATAGTACAATACAATAAACATAGATCTAACCTACGATACAATAAAATTTAAGAAACGGTCAAAACTAACCTTATATTTAAATTCTAAACTTAACAATACAATATACAACACGTAAGTTGTAACAACCATTTTTAAGCACTAATTTATAGATTTAACTATACAATACAACATAACAATGAAAATAAACAGTGTGTCTTAAGATTAAACACAATACAACATTGATACAGGTTACAGTCTTACAGAGAATCTTTGATTACTTGATACCGGTTACAGTCTAAGAGACTAGAAAGAAAAGAAAACGAACCTGAGCAGTAGCAACTGCTGATTTGTGATATCTTCTATTGAATTTCACTGGAAAAACACAAATCGCATGTTGATTAGAATGATAAATACCACTAGAATTCAAAATTGATGGAAGAAATACTGCCTTATTCAACAATTTCTCCATGGAACCTGAGATTGGAAATTGGGAATATGAAAAAAGTTTTTTTAAAAAAAAAAAAATTCTTCAATGAAGAGTAAAGTGAAGGGGTACATAAATAAAAGGTTTGAAAAATGTGAGAAATGAACAAATGGCAATATTAACTTATTCCTTGGACGTCAAAAAAAGCTAAAAATTTGCGATAACGTGTCAAATGTTGAACCAAATAGGAATAGAAAAAGAAATATATATGGATAACAATAATACTACATTATAAGAGGTGTCAAATGTTCGACTAATTTGAATACGCGACCTCCAAACTTTAATTAATATATTATTATTGTTATTTACGTGGAAAATATTTTTTATTATATATATTTTAGTTTTAATTACTAAAGTTTAAACTCAATCTTTTTTAATCTCTCGTTCGATATTTAATATTCATCTTATAATTTAATTATTTTAGATTCATATTGCATAAAGCTTCGTTACCAAAAGAATTTCCATAAGGATGGCTCGAACTATGTCTATATTCGAGGCTTGAACATATACTTATCAAATCTATTCTATTTCTCTTACGACGAATAATCTTTTTTTTCTAAAAAAAATCGAGTTTATTTATTGATTATGTGTTATCTAGAGATATTTTTTCGTCATACCTCCATGGAATAGGAATCATATCTATATATATTTTATCATGCTACGCTTTTTAGATTTCACCTATAAATTACACTAATTTAGGCAAGAAATATAATAAACTGGATGTTTCTATTACTTAAAGTTATTTGCCTCACATTGTCTTTTTTTAACAAAAAAATCCGATGTTCAGTATTTTTATTGAAATTTCAATTAAATTCGAGTTGTGCACAATAGTGTCCACTTAGGGATGGAGCTTTAGTAAAAAAAAATTCATTTTCAATGTAAAACACTCTCACAACTCATATTGGTACAAAACTATGATTATGGGTAACTCATGATCCTTTTAGTAATACATGTTGGCATCAAGCCATAAAAATGTCATCAAGAACAAAGACGTATTCAAAATTTTGAGATAATGGGTGTACTATTATGAGAAGGTGGATCTAAGATATAAATTTGATCGACTTAATGTTTGAGTTCTTATCACTAAAAATAACTAAAATTTTAAAATTATACGTCCAAAATTATTTTTACCTATTCAACCCACTTAGAGAGACATTACACAATTTTAGAAAAAAAAAAATAAAACGAGATAAATGTAAGATTGAAATTTCTTACCTCACTTATAGAGGTGCACCCAATCATAATTGCACGGTATATATTTCAACTATGAATACACATATCTATATTTAAATATTTTTTTTAAAATATAACATTACTATATATATAATTTTATGAGGGTAACATGGGTTCACCCAACAACTCGTCACCAAGGTAGGTTAAGCGTGAGGCTAGTTAAACATTTGTTTTTATAAACCCAAAAAAAATCAATATTATTTTATGGTTATAATTTTTCTTATAAACAATAAAGACCATTATAAAAAAATACAATTAATCTTTTCTTGAAAAAATGAAAAATTATTTATTTTTGGTTAGAAATATTTTAGAACTTTGAATTAAACTAACTCAATTTTTCATATTAATAAATAAAGTTTTTCATAACAATACCCAAAATAATATATTGCAAACAAATGAGTAGCTCTTATTAACTAGAATTAATCAATACATTTATAAATAATCATAGTGGAAAATCTATTAGAGTATACATTTGCTTATGTATGAATGAGTCCCTTTATTTTTCAAGGTAACACCTTTTTTGTGTTTTCATATCATAAATTAGATTCTTTGATACAGTTAAATAATATATTTTTATCTGTAAATATCAAATCAAATTCATCTTAGGTACTCGATCAACATAATATATACAGAATAACTATGGAGAACGTAATGATGTTCTACATTGGTGAGTACTATTTTTGTTTTTCATCTGAAATTACGTATTAATCACATCTAATCATGGACTATAATGACATCGATGATTTCTAAGGAAAAAAACAAAAACAATATAATTAGAAATTTAAAAAATCTCATATAAAGCTTCATAACACTGGATTTAAAATGGTGCATGCGTGAATCTCATCTTAGTTTACAGATCAATTGAGAGAATTTTTTTAAATTTGAACATAACTCCAAAAGAATACTAAAGAATGTTTCTACGTATATGTATAAATATACAAAGTTATCGTATAATGTTCTTTTTACAGTGATACCTTTTTTTTTACCGTGCATCAGAATAGCCGCTTGACAATGTTTACAATTAGTTGAAAAATTAAATGAAGATCGTGGTTTCAGTTTAGAATTCAAAAATAATACATAAATTTGATATTTTTTTTCAAAAAAAAAGAAGTTAATACTTAACTTGAAAATATTATTTGTATTATGCGAGATGTTATATTAAATATACTTTGTAATATCGAAAAATTATTTTCGATTGTGCATCAGTATAGTGGTTGTGTATAGGAAATAAGTATCTCACTCAAACATGAATTGATTAAGTCGAACAATTCATATCGAACCAGCAAGATGAAAATGAAGAAGATTGTTGAGTTTGTTTCCCCTTGTAGAAATATACATTTGCTCATGTATAATTGTGTTATTTTATTTTTCAAGATAATACTTCTTTTGTGTTTTCATATAATAAGACTCATTTTCCACTTAAGTAGCATATTTTCACTTGTAAATATTCAACCATATTCATCTTATGTACCTGATCAACACAATACATGTTGAATTATAGAGAAACAATGAATTTTTTTTATTTTCTAACTCATCTTACATACTTAATTAACATAATACATGTTAAATTACAATAATTTCAATTCTTTAGCTTCAAATAATCTTTACTAATCTAATAAGGACAAGTATGCAACTTAAAGAGCAAGGCTCTATGATCAATGGATAGTAATTTGGGAAACAATTCCAAATCATGAGATATAAATGCTAATATGTTATCGATACTAACTATAAATGAGTGACTATTTTATATATATAAAAAAAATAGTAATATATGAAAATATGTAAAATCTTTCAATTGTGTTTTTCAAAATATTTATTGAGTGAAATTTGTTTAGAAATGTATTTCTCGAGTTAAATCATACTTGACATCAATTGTAAACTTAAACATGTAGTAATTAGTAGATACAGTAATACAAAACATTTAGTTTTGAAAAAGAAAAATAATTTTAATTAATATCACACTCTTAACTACGTACGAGGTATATATATGTATACTAAGGGCTTGTTTGGCCATACGATATGGTATCATGATATGAAATTGAAGTTTTATTTGGACATGCGATATGAAATTTTGGTGTTGTATATTTTCTCATATACATAAAATCTCATAACTTCTAAAACTATTAAAATAACTCCAATTGTTTATTCAATATTATCAAATAAACAAAAAAAATCATAAAATCGTATAATAATTACCAAGTTATATGTTCTCAAATTAAGTAATTGTTTGATCAATATATTTGAGTAAAAATGAAATACCTTTCACGGGCTCTTCAAAATTTATTGTTCAACAATCGTGAAGTATAAGTTAAAGTGACTATATGTTAGTTAGAATAATAAATTTTATGTCGGTGATAATAATAAATTTCAAAAAGCAATGATGTGATTATAAATTGTATTTACATATGAAATAAATAGTTATTTAATATAAATATGGAGTTATTTTAACAAAATATAAATTCGTGGATCAATTTTTGTATTAAAATAACTAAATCACGATATAGTAATCTCATATGAATCCGTATCATTATTCTTGAAGAATATAATATCACGTCTCTTGATATGAAATCAACGTAAAATTACTTGTCTAAATACTGATTTCATCTCATGACGCGCCAATTTCTACCGACTATTAAAAAAAAAGAGACAAAATTGGGCTTCGATAGAGTCCTAAACCATCTAGATGAATTGATGATTTTTTTTCACGTTAAATAAATAAATAAAAAGTCTCCTATACTTCTCCTCCTCTTCTTCCTCCTCATTCTTCATCAATTGGCCCTAAATTTTCGAAACCCTAGTTTTTCCTCTTCATCTTTATAGCGAAAATACGTATACATACACATAATACATAGGGTATTTCTGTTAATTGAAAGAATCGAGGTGATTCGAGGGAGATCTGAGGATTTCCCTGGATCTATTCAGCGGATTTTGGTAAATTTTTTCGAAATTTCTGTTTCATATTGTTTTATTGGTTAATATTCATGATCGAAATGAAATTTAATTGATGTTTCAATTTTTTGTTATGTAATTAGGGCGTTGACGATTTTTTTGATATTTTAGCGGTGATATTAATGAGTTTATTTGCTCGTTGTATTGGATTTTTTTGTTTCGGTTGTATTGTTGATGTAATCTTAGGAAAATCAAGTATATGGGGTGATTTTTTTTGGTTTATTTGGAAAAATATAGTCTTGTTTATAGGTTTTGCTGCCAAGATAGATGAAGGTAGTCAAGCCCCTAGGGTTTTTGGTCTAGTATTGAGAACTCAACAAATGACGTGTGCTTTAGGTGCGAAAAGCCGGTTATTTAAGTAGAGATGGGTAGAGGGGGTGGATTCCACCTGTTTGTTGTATTGTTGATGGAATCAGGTAGATGTGTTTTTTTGGGTGTATTTGGAAGAATATAGTCCTGTTAATAGGTCTTGTTAATATACCTTGCTGCCAAGATAGAAGAAGCTAGTCAAGCCCTTAAGTCTTTGGTTTAGTGGTGAGAGCCCAACATAAAAGCTGGCTATTTATGTGGAGAAGGGTAGACCTGGTTATCCTATCTGTTCAGCTAGTATATGGATATTTTAGGATTGTGGTTTTGTATCTAGTCAAGAAAAGATTTGTCGTTCTTTCTTTCTTTTAAAGAAGTCATTAATTGCAGCCTGTATCTGTTATATGGCCATTTAAATATTATTATTAGTTTGTTGAGTGTTAATCGGCGTTCAAATTATCTACATTAAGAAGAAAAACCAGTTGTTCATCATTTTGAAACCCTTTGGCATTTGGGGATTTTCTGAATTCCATATTTTTGTTATACTTCTGATGGA